ATTCTTTTCCCTACTTTCCTTTCTCTCTCTCACTAACACGATCCAATAAAGGCACAAAGGCCAAAAAACTAACTTCAAAAAAAAAAAGTCATACTATAGCATGTCGTTTTTGGCAAAAAAGGTCATGATTCAGAATGTCGTCAAAACGTGTCAGGATGTAGTATCCAGTGGTCCAGAACACCTGTCAACAGGTGCAGAAGTCTGACTGAGAGTTACAGGAAACACCTGATGGCAGTGATTGGCTCAGAGGGTTGTTCAACTAGATATTAGTTTACAGGTCCCATCATGCTCGTTTCCTTGCTATATATGTCTGTTGAACCACAATTCAAAAGCAATGTCATGATTTTCATTAAATTTTTATTTCTTATTACTTTTGGCCTTTTCAGCTAATTCCAGTGACTGAAGCTGTTTTTTTCCTTCTTTCATGGGAGCCTATGAATACATGTGAGGACGACCATACAAGTGATTAATTGTACGATCACGTCGATAGCTTGATGAATTTGTCTTAATTCTCACTTAGAGAACTTCTCTACTGCTGAATTAGCTGTTAAGAGAATTCTGGTGTGTGGTTTATAGAAGTTTGGGTCCCAGATGTGACATGTTCAGTTCGAACCATCTGTTTCATGCTGTCGTGCTTCAAACACGCATACGTTTTCATTTCAGTGTATTCATTTATTACATTTTCTTTTTATTACAAAATGGATACAGTAAGTACAAGTATGGAATTACATTATGAGAAAACAACACGTATGTACAAGTCAAAAAAATAAAATACATCTCGGCATCAGCTATCAGGTGGAGCGTTATAGCTGGAAGTATTCAGAGCATCAACTGACGGGGTTTGTTTTAATCTGAGGCACTTGTGTGTACGATGATGGGCCACTACCTGAGGATGCAGAATATGTGACAGTGAAGTTTACTTTTAGCCAATACGAGCACCACATCTGAACAGTCACACCTCCACTCTGGTATTTGATGACACAAGGGCTAAACAAAGGTGGGAACTGCCCATTTTTCATGTTCAAGCACTTCCCAATAAGTTAATAATAGGTAGATGTAAATAAAAGACAAGTAAAAAGGGTTGTAGCCTACTTTCGGAGCCAGTAGGGGGCGTTTCGGGTTTGAGGAGTCACATCTAATTAGTCATATAAATAAATTTGAAGGGGGGCGGGGAAATGAACAAAACAAAACATCAAGCATTTTGATAATCGTGACAGACTGAAGTGAGGTTTCCAGAGATTAAAGCCAAAAAACAAGCCAGTTTGATCCAAGTTTTCTCCTCTTATCCTACAGCAGCCTGTTTTAGATTCACTTTAACTCTACTTCCGAACATCTTCAGGCCTCCATGCACCCACCGACCTCGCTCACACACTCAATATGTCTTTTTTTATTTCAGTCTGGTTGCCGATGTGGTTACTTGTCCAAAACCACACCTTGCACCACGTCACTCTCTTAGCGGAGCTGCATGTGGAGATTCATCCCCACACCTTTTGTCTCGGGTCGTTCAAAGTGCTCTCAGTAGGGGTAGGCAGAGACGGCGATGTAGACGATGAAGGTGGTCTGGTACTCGATGCCTCCGTCTTCGCTGTAGGACAGGGCTCGGACCTTCATGCGGTACGTGTGGGGCTCTCGTAGCGCCCGCGTGGTGAACAGCACCCCCTTCAGGTTCTCGTCCCGCAGGGCAAAAGGCAACGTGACGTCCTCGTCCACCACCAGGAAGCTGGTCCTGGGGTGCATCACGCCGTCCTGGGTGTAGGCCACCAGCCGGATCAGGTCCTGGTTGGCCGCGATGCCAAAGGGAAGAGACAGCAGCTTGTACTCCAGAGCGTAAGGACTCAGCGCACATTCCAGGTCGTTTGGTGGGCAGTTCTTCAAGCAGAACCTACAACAAAGTGGAGTCTAGTTAAAAAAGCTGTGTTAAGGGTCTGTTGAAGCAGAAAATCAAAGCAAGACGCCCGATGAACCACACGTTCTATTCTGCATATAAAACCACAACAATCAGCGGAACACAACCATGGCTCTGTGTAGGATGGTTTTTTTCTTTAATTAACTGATTCTTTAAACTTTAAAATGATTCCCTGTATGTGTGTGAAGGTTTACCCTGTGGCCGGATCCCTCTGGTAGTTTGGTGGACAGGGCGTGTCGATGCACTGGTAACTTCCTCTCATGTTGAAGCACATCCGGTTCGCTCCACACTGGATGTTCTGCTCCAGACACTCGTCTACGTCTGTAGATACAGAAAACAGTTGATCACAGGAATTATTCCACGCCACAGGGAGCACAGGTCACGGTATAGTTTATGTTTATGAGATGAAATTATTTAGAATCGATAACATAAGCTGGGAGACAAAATGTAAAACCCAGAATAATGGGTATCATCCATCC